AGAGTGAAGAATAGCTGCTGCTTTTTTTGTTTCCTGTAGGAATTTATCTGCTCATGCAGAATTTTGAGGAAAATTCCTTGCTACTTCCAGATAAGGGGGAAGAATTGGACTACATGGCTTCAGTGGTCACAGCTGGAGACAAACAATATGAAGAAACAGACATTTTCACTAACTACTGAGTGATAAGAGGCAACTACCTTCTACCAGAAACCTTGTTGGAAAGGCCAGATTGCTTGACTTCTTAAGAAGCTTTGGCCAAGCTCTAATGGGTCTGCTGCAAACCATTGTGGCTGTTTCTTTTTTCTTGTCCAACCATTTTTGACTTACCCTGATCCTCAGGCCCTTGCCTACCAACTTTAGTGTTAATAATCAGAATAGACATTTAAGATTGCAGCATTCAACAGGTGGGTACAGCTCCTTCAGGTCCTTGACCTGTTACCAGTGTTTGCAATTTTCTTAGGCAAAATTTCTAGAGAAGCATAGGGATCTGTAGTGGCCAAGAAGCTATTTCTTCCTTTATGGGAATCTTGCCCAACAATTGAAACCTTGCCCAACAATGCTAAGCACTGGACCTGCATAAAAACTATGCATCTTAGTGAAAGCTGCATGATTGTTGGTCTTATAAATTGCTTCAGTGAATGCTGTGCAGGCAGAAAAAAACAGTGGAGAAACAGTCCTCACCCAGGCATGCTGGCATCTAGTGCTGGGTGAGGAAGCAGCTCATTATAGAGTGAGGGCGGGTGCTGGGTGTTGGTACTAGCAGGTGCCCCAACCATCACAGAGGCGAGTGATTTATGTGCCAAAGGTGGGAACAAAGTAGTAGATGCAGATTGTTGTTAATGTCTGTGCTGAGCCTATCTTGAACCTGCCTTTGGTATGTAATCGATGTGAGTCCTACCTTGCGCAAGAGCATAGCACTTGCCATAGGGAGATGAGTCGTCCCCAACTACTACAGCTGTCTTGTCAAAACCACTTTCAGACTCAACATTTGGCAGCCCCAGTGACATTGCAGGAATGTGATAAGCTTCTTACCCACATGACATATGCCTTTCAGATCTGCAGAGGGTGATAAATACCTGCAGGCTGATGGAGTCCCCTGTCTGGCTGGTGCAAGGGTACAGATTTCTCCCAGTTACTTGCTTATCTCTAGGCATGGCTCTGCGTGGTGAGGAAGGGCGGGATGTTTCTCTGCTCTGTAAATTGCTGTGGCTAGCAGCTGTTCCCCCTGACCTGAATAACTATGGAGCCAGAATATACCTTAACTTCATCCTGACCCTAGCTGGGAGGCAGGCAGAAGCAGGACTTTAGGGCTTTCTGAAATCAATATTGAATATCCGCATTTTGCAGCTCTTCTCTCTTGCACTTATAGTGCTGTCCTCAAAAACCCAAGGAGCTGCTTAAGATGCTTACATCTTTCTACAAAGCGTTAAAGACAATCTCAGCTGTCCCACCACAGCAACCAGAGAAGCTGGAGAGAAGTGCCTGATAATGATGATTGATTTGATGGTATAATCACTTGTAAAAACGAGGATGATTTTGTATGCACTTATCAGTGTAATTTATCCTCTAGAAGCAGCCTTTGTGCTTTGAGGACTGTGGGACATGGAAGAAGCAAAACAGAAAAAAAACCCTCTCACTTCAACTCTGCAACTGCTGGTGCCTTAGCACAGCACACAGCCTAGCTCTTCACCGTGGAGGCTAATTTCTAACACATGGCAAAACTGTAGCATGTGTCAGATATGCTGTCAGTAGCCAAAGGCTCCATCACAAAGAAGTGACATTTTAGCATGTTGAATGTTCTGTTTGACAAAAAAGTTTAAAACCCAAAGTTCTGGCAGTAATCACTCTCAGAAAAGCTCAGAACATTTAGTGGTAAAAATATCAAGTCCACCGTCACAGAGATTAAAAAATGAATCTAGATTAAAATTGTGATAAGAATTCTCTCTCCACCTCCCAAAATATCTACTCATAGTGCCTGACAACACTTTTGAGGAAATCACGCAGTAGTAGAGAGATTTTAAAAAACAAAGTATGTCCTGGAAAGGGAAAACCACAAGATGGTGCTCTTGAAACACTGAATGAAGCCAGATTCATTGAGTTCCGTCTTGCTGCATTTGTGGAGAGTATGTTTCCTCCACCTCCACGGACTTATATCCATCCATCTAGTTACTCTGGTCATAGGTAACGCATTAAATCTGTGATTAAAAGAACAAAACCCAAACCTTGAATTCAATCACTGATTTTAACATTTGTTTCAACCATATTTGTGTAGGATATGTGCATATTTGCTAAACCGAAAAAAATAGAGGTGCCTTGCATAAAAGCTTTATCCTGCTGCTAAATGCACGTGCCTTCTTCAAGGAGTGATTGGTTGCCCTAAAAACATAACATTTATTTTGCTCGCCTTGTGCCCCTGTAGTGACAAGTGGAGAGCAAAGCCACTCCTCCAAAACAATGGGTGCAAACCACCCCATGAAGCCCTCAGCGCGGGTCTGGAGCAAACATGAAGCTGAGTTTTGGCCGGGATCAGATGTCGTGTTCCTGATCAGCTGAGGTTTGGTGAACACCTCAGCTGTGCGACTGCTGTGGCGTGTCCTGGACATATCTTCTGGCAGAAGCTAACGGTGCCGACTTGCAAAATATCCAAAAGGCATAGCATGAATATGTAAGGCAACTTCTCATACAGTGCCTGTGCTGTGGGCAGGAGGAGCTGGTGTCTTGAGCTGAAATGCCATTACCTGAATGCAAGGATGGACCAGGCAGTTACTGTGACAGATGCTTGATTTTGGAATACGCTTGCCATGATAGAAAAGATTCCCCTTCTAATACATTGAAACTTTGGAGTAGAGGATGAGGAGTTACAGAGATGGACAACTGCTGGTATGTGAGTCTCTACCTGAGGATGAACAAATTGTCGTGTCAGGTCCACTCAATTTTAATGTTACCTTGCAGGGGTGGTTACTCCTCTGAAGGAGTCCAGGGGAACAGAATGAGAGAGGGAAAAACATAGTGCTGA